TCAGGCAGCCTGTTGCTACAGCCAGCTTTTCCTAGTAAGTGGTTCTCAGAACAGTTACTCCTTTAACAGAACAATTACTCCTATTATCCCCAGATATCATGGCCAGTGCCCAGCAATTACAGAAATTGTAGCTCAACATCTGGAGATTCAAGACTAGTATGTAGTGGCTTTGATTTGAATAGGGAACATGTAGTCCTCTAGTTCTTGGTGGACAGCAAAGGCCATGGCTCCCCATCATTGGTTATGCTGGTTAGGGCAGTTGGGAAGCAATTCAACAGCATCTGGGAGGGATTATGTTGTTCCTTCTCCTGCGATAAGGCAGTGAATCAGATACCTACCTTGGACTTCTCTGAATCGTTCATTGGCACTCTTAGAAGCATGAAAGAGAATGTCCATCAACTTCCAGAGAAGTGTTATTGAGTCTCAAGTGTAATGGTCACAAGGTACTGGATAGCTGCACACCATGTAAAGTTACTGACATTAATATGGCAGTGACTTCAATGTACTGAGAACTGAAGCCTTAAGAACCAAACCAACTCCTACAGCAATGATGGGGACAGTGTGGTCCTCCAGATGGTGTTGGACTGAAGCTCTTACTATCCATTCATATTCACCATAGCTAATGGCGAAGTTTAATGAGGGCTGTAATTCAGCAGTATTGGATGGCCCTGGCCTTTACTGTTGCTGACCTACAGTAATTACATGTTCTGAATAATGTCCCCTATTCTTCCAAAACAAGGCCTGCCCGACCTTGAAGTCTTATAGTCCTTAGTATGAGCGTTCCAATGTTATCATCAGGGCTCCACCATCATTTAGCAGGTTTTTGGAGAAACTACAGATGTTTCCAAGATACCAGAAAAGGAGTGAGCTGATTAAAGACTCCAAAGGATTAACTAAAGGTATTTTGAAGGGCAGGAACGAGGCAAATCGAGTCAAGTAATATGAAGGCGATAAAGCCAAACCTTTCTCCAATTCTGTGAATTCCACAACAGTCACTGCCTCTGAATCCCCCAGATACTGGCAGGTTTGTTATTGTAGCTAACATGAACAATTACCCAGCAGAAGATTTATTGTACAACTTTTTTTGTGCTTAGTGGCGCCAGAGTTATGTTCTAAATCCAGAAGCAAGATAAAATTTCTCCCTCCAGAGGTGCATGAGAAAAGGTGGAGTTGTGAGTCACACTGGAATCAGCTTACTGTGCTAATGCCAGGTAAATATATATGCGGCACAGAAACTTGTCCTCTGATAGCTGATGAAACATGTTTTGGAATACCTTGAGGATGAAAGAGACTTTTACCACTCCTTATCTCACTGTACTTTCATTCTATTTGGGAATTAAAGAAAAATAAATAGGTAAGTCTGCTGGCCATTTCTGCAAGCCATGTTGGAAGGTGCATTGCAGTTCCAGGCTATGTATGGCCAGCCTTCTTTAGACCACAGCAGTGAAGGTCAAAGCCTACAATGTGACAGCGCCTACAATAACTTTCACCACAGATATATTTATTAAACTTAGTCATATCCAAAGGAGACCATGTGAAACGAATAGCTGTGACTAATTTAAGCTCCATTGATTTCTACCAGCCAATCAACTGTCCCCTCGTGTCAATATGGAATGGAAAGTTATCTGTGAAAGAGAGCTTTTCTTTATCATTCATAATAATTCATGGAGGTATATGACCCCTTTGTGCAGACCTTCAAAAATGCAGAGGGTTATGGCGTTTTTACATGTGGCTTCTTCAAACCGCAGGGGGCAATAACAGTGGCTTGGGTCCCTGCCTGTGGAGCCGGAGGTTGGGAGTTCGATTCCCCACTGTGCCTCCTTGAGGGGGCTGGACTCAATGATCCATAGGGTCCCTTCCAGCTCTGCAGTTCAAAGCTTCAAAAACATGCAGGTGTTAACATGGGGGAGGTGAACGACGGCCAGGTTGGAAGGAGCTGTGCAGTCTCTCAGCCAACCCAAGGCTTGAAAAATGATTCATGGCATAATTTCTCCTACTATTTTTTTCGTGGATCAAAGCAATGGGAATGGAAGGGAGGGCCACCTCCCAACCTCTCCTTTTTCTCCTACTGATCTGACTGCTGCCCCCCAAAATAGAAGGAAGGGCATATTTGGAGGAATGGAGATGTCTCGCAGGGTATTCTTCTGTTTCCAACTTGTATCTGGGAGAGAATTCAAGGTCTGCAAGGACTGTTCAGGTGCATTTTTTGAGCTCAAATTTAGTAGCAACTCTAACACAAATCCTGGGTCTCACCAGGAGATGAAGAGATTTCCATTGTCTACAGCCGGGGTTCCCAATCCCCAGTCCGTGGCCCTGTACCAGGCTGTGGCCGTGGCAGGACCAGGCCGTGGACACAGACCTCCCGCCCCCTGCATGCCCCCACATTCATGCATGGGTGCCTCGCCGACCTGTGCACGTGTGCCCTGTCCACCCATGGACACATGGGTGCCCTGCCCACCCACCCATACATGGGTGGCCCACCCACCCGCACACACACAACAGGTGCCCCCCCTCATGCACAGACACCCCCTATCCCCCAACCGGTCCACGGTTCGGAAAAGGGTGGGGACCACCGGTCTACAGCAATGGTTCCCAACCTTGGGTCCCCAGATATTCTTGGACTAAAACTCCCACCAAAAGCTGTGCTGGCGAGGATTTCTGGGAGTTACAGTCCAAGGAAATGTGGGTTAGCTAAGGTTGGCAAACATTGGCTTAGAGGAAGCCAAATGGTCTGCTGTATATTTCCTTTAAGCCTAACAGCCTACCAATGATCAGATCCCCTGAAACAGTCAGCAGTCACCTGTACCCCAAACAATTGTAGATTCAGGGTGTGGCTACACTAGCAGTAAGGAGTAACTGCTTGGAGATGGTCTGGTTTGATTAGAACAATCCAATCAAGCCCAACTGTTTGCACAGAACAATTAACAATTAAAAATACCCCTTTCCTTGCCTTCTCTTGAAGGGTTGGTCAAGAAGCTGCCTGGAGCCAAAGCCACCACTGTGAATTCAACTGTGGATCATTTCTCAACCAATCTTTTAAGGCAAGATAAAGGGAAAAAAATTCTAACTGATGTAGCACATCAGCAACATTCTACACACAGTCAATTTTTTCCTACTTCCTCTGGCCTCTGCTGAACACTTACAAATCACTTGACAATACGTATTGGCAAATTGAAAAAGTACTTCCTCTGGCCTCTGCTGAACACTTATAAATCACTTGACAATATGTATTGGCAAATTGAAAAAGGAAGGCTTGCTTTGGATTGATTCCAGAAATCACATATTCTGGAACTGATCCAAATCAGAGTGATCCTACCTGCACCAGAGAAGTAGAAGCCCTTTGACAGGGGCCAGAAAGATGCAGGTAGGAACGCTCTGGAAGTGGGCTGGTGAGCTCTAGCAAAGATGTCGTCTGATCACCATCTTTAAGAGCGCATCAGCCCATCCCTGCAGTGCTCCCAACAGACAGTGGAGTCAGCCTTCTAATTCGTTCTTAAGAACTGTGTTTTGTTGAGAAAAGGAACTCATGTGGCTCCTTAAAGACTAGCAAGTTATTTGTTACATGAAGCTTTCATGAACTGCATCCCACCCCATCAGAGAGCTGGAATTTGGAATGTGCTGCCCTGAGGATCCAGGTTGACCTCTTCCCTCTTGCCTCCAGTCAATGGAGACTCAACCTACAGACTTTTTGACCTGCAGCCACTGTTCCAATACGGATTAATTCCGTAAGTAGAGGGTCCATTGTATGGAATTTCTATGGCATTTTAGAGCTGTTGATTTTTGTATTGTTTTAATTGTGAGCCACCTTGAGTCTCCTATGAGGAAAAAGGTGGCATATAAGTAAATCAATCAATCTGTATAAGGCATCTAACAAAGTAGGCTGAAGTCCGTAAGCACGTATGTCAAACGCTAGTCTTATGTCATGTTCTACTTACTTTTAAGCCCTCCTGTTTTTCCTGCAACAGAAAAACATGCTTATAGAGGAGACCAAAAGAGGCACTTACGATCTAGAATGGGAACATACAGTATACTTTGCATTTGTTATTTTTCTAATGTCTTCATTAGAAAGTAAGGAAATTGTAAGCATACTGACTTATTGCTGCATTCTGTTGTTTAAATTAAAAGGACATCATTAGAGATGGGTCTGAAGCGCTTTGTCCCAATTTGTTGGCACAGCACCACAAGTACTGCACATTTCCTCTTCGCCACTCACACTCCAGCATGCCCCATGCGGGCCCTTCTTCATTGGCAATGATCTAGTCCAAACAGAAGTCCAGGCTTCTCTTCGCTGCCTCCTCCTGCAGCTGACCCATCAATGGCTGTGTAGTGAGTATCGCTGTCCCGCCTCTTAATCTGACTGGCTGGCTGCCGAAGGAGGCAGGGAAGGGAACTGAACTGCCTGGACTGAAGCACTGATGATGAAGGAGAACTCTGGTGGTGCACACTTAAGTGTGAATTGGGAAACCAGCTTAGGGGGAGAGGGGAGGAAATGCACAGTACCACAAGTGAATGAATCAGGCCAAAGCACAACAAAGCTCTTCATGCCCAATTCTAATCATGATCTGAAACTGTATACTGTATTAGGAAACCCCCCTACATGCATTTTCAACAGTTTACAACACTTGGCGTATCGCTAATGTTTAAATTTCAGAACACCATCTATTAAATTAAACTATCTAAAATTGGGAGTGGATAATGTGTGAAGTCAGTCTCTAATTAGTGACTTATTCAGAACTTTATTTTCAACATATGTTTGGGTTCAGATATTTAATGTGTCTTCAAGCGGACACATGTGATTGTTTCTTTCAACACTGGCCAGAATCCTATTGGGGATTTATGCCTGCATAAGTGCAATTGTGTAAACCACAGCAGCATACTGTCAGTAGACAATAGGTTGTTACTCACATTACCCACTGCACAATTTGAAGCACAATCCCATCGTGCCAAAGTCTATAAAAAGAGGAAGGAAAACTCCCATAGAACTTCAGTGAGCAAAATGCAAACTTTAATCACAGTATCAATTACAATACAAAATCAAACACTTTCTCTGTCAGCAAAGCTATACATTTTATCGAGGTACTCATCCAAGTTCTACAGATATTACAACCATCTGAATATTATAAGACAACAAAAAGTTAACCTTCTTATTATAATTCACATGACAGATCATGACATTTAGATACTTGCCATCTTTGTTGGCTGAACTCTGCCTAAATGAAATCTTTTTGTACATAAATGCTTCCCTGCTCTGTTCAGAAATAGATCAGTAAGACAGATCAACTATTTGGAAAAAGAATATACAAAGTTAAACATTTGTAATACCTGCATGAGCTGATTACATGCCAGTCTCTCCTTAATGTCACCACTGAAGTAATTCATGTAACTTCACGTTAATACTTTTGACAGAATATGTGCATATTTTATCAACCTGTTCATCACCACTCTTGTATTGCTGGATGGATGAAGCTCAACAAAATAGCTGAAGTCTACAAATGAGAGACACCATACATATCAAAGCTCACTTTTTCCATCTGGCAAATCTGAAATTCGGTGTCAAAAATGAAAAGAGAAATCCCTCTGCCGTACAAAAGACACCAATAATCTGTCTCACTGTCATAATGCAAGTACTGTGATGCCCCTTAAGACTTTCTTTATATAGCTGGTTAAGACCCTTCACACTTCTGGCTATATCTGGGGAGACGGAACTGTCAGCAGACCAGTTGGCTTGATTTTGTTTATGCCTCCATCCAAAATGCAAACTCTTGGATACTTGATTTTCACAAGATGAGCTGCAAACTAAAGAAAGAAAGACTCCGTGTTAGGGAGTTGCATTGAGACTCTTTCAATAAACACACATTTGTTTTACAAGATAGGTTGTTGGCCTACATGGTCCATAAATTCAGTGCTGTGTAATCTGTAAAACATATAGATTCCTGACTACTACGGGTGATATCCAAAATGACTGGAAAGAACAGAGTGACTTGAAAAGCAAAAACACTGCTTTTTGCTTGAGTTCTCCACAATTCTGTATTAAATGGAAACAGGTTCTTAAAATCAAAGGAATAACTGCTTTACATGCTGAAATTACAAGTACTATTAAACAAACTAAAAGATCACTGAACCAACTTTAAATGCATTTTTACTCCCAGCTGACAGAAGTCCATTAAAAAGAAACTGTATCAGAAATATGACAATTGTGCCTGCATTAAGAAATCTTTTAAAAAAACCACAACAGTTGTGCCTACGCTATGGAACAATTCCTTGTTGTCTGTCTTTATGCCCTGGGAAACTAAAAAAAATTCTATTTTTCTGTATTGGGCTTTGACTGGGAGTAAAGTCTTAGAGCTTGATCTATGTTCACTTATTCCTGCACAGAGACACAACTCTTTATTCCCCAAATGTTTATTGTCCTGCTGTTAAAACAAAGCAATGTTGGCATCTCCCCTCATTCAAAGTGGTGCTAAATCAGTACAAACAGAAAAAGGAAGGCTTTATTTTGTGACCAATCCTAGTGATTTTCTAGAGTCACTAGGGGAGAACACTACAACACACGGACAGAATACATTCCTCTATGGTCCTTTGACATGCTATCTTCTCATCTTGTCTACTGCACCCTTTTGTCTAATGGCCTTTTTTAACCTGACCCATCTTTAGAATCCCATTGACAAAATAATCAATAATTCTGACAATATGACCCCTCTCTTTAAATCTGTGTATATACTTCTTGACCATTCACAAATTTTGCACTAATTCCTTGTTTTTGTCTTCATTCTCATGTCCTAATACAACCCTGTCTGTAACCTTCATTCCTCCAGTTCCATTGCTCTCCGGCATCTGAGGTTCTCCCTGTCCTCCAAATGACTCTGCATTTTATTCTTGGAAATCTGCTCCAGAAACACCTACATAACTTCTCATTTCAGCCAAGACTCACATTTTCCATGAAGCTTCTGGCATAAGACATTGCTCCTCATACCTCAATGTACCTTAAGCACAAAAATGGATAATGAAGGCCCAGCTTCCTCTGATAACATCTCCTTTCCATTCTTCCTGTGCTGAGCTTCAGTCTGTCTGTAAGCTCCCTGGCACACAGAACTACCCTCCTGCTCTCTATAAACAACATGTGCATGGATGGTCCTAGGTAAACAAAGGGTATAATAAGAGGACTCAATCATGGATATATTTTCTACCTAAATACTAGTGTGATAGGAGAACAGATAATGCTTGGCATCTAGCTAGTCAGTCATCTCCCCATGCTGTTAGAAGCACTACTCAGAATCTGGTCACAGGCAGTTGCACATATAAGAAGAAAACTCTCTTTGTCTACATCTATATATTTGTGGCCTACCAGGTCTATTAGCAATCTTCATATGAAATAACAAGAGACTATATAGTCTAGAATATTTTACAAGTATATCTTCTGATTTCCAGTTATCCAGAAAGCAACTGCATGTGCTGTAAGATTTGCTTCCCAATAAACATTGGCGAATCTGCTCTGTTGTTCCTTTGCCAATGTCTAAAGTCAACATAGTGCAGTAAAAGAAGACTTTCATTGAAACGTTGACAAATGACCCCTTTAAACTTCCTGATGGGGCTGAGAGGCTATTACCATTGTGCTGGGAGACCCATAGCAACCGGGCTGCAGAAGATACGTGACAACCAGTAAAATGTCAGAGAAAGAACAGTAATTCAGATAAAGAGGAGCACACTTGCTAGCTGGGTGGTCTTGAGCTAGGAAGAAAAAGGCAGAGGAAAGAAATACCATTGGCCTCAACAGAAAAGAGGCAGGATAGGAAATGTGACATTGAAGTAGAAGTCCATCTAAAATTCAAGAAGCTACTTACTGAAGGAAAAAGAACAAGAATGGAGAAAAATGTATGTATGCACACATTCCTCTTACGATATACAGCAAAGGAGAAGGATAACTATCTGTCAAAATGAAAGCACATAGTAGAATCGATCTGGGCTTCATCTGGGTTCTCTCTGTTGTTGTTTAGTCATTCAGTCATGTCAGACTCTTCGTGACCCCATGGACCAGAGCATGTCAGGCCCTCCTGTCTTCCACTGCCTCCCGGAGTTGGGTCAGATTCATGTTGGTTGCTTCGATGACACTGTCCAAACATCCTGTCCTCTGTCATCCCCTTCTCCTCTTGCCTTCACACTTTTCCAACATCGGGGTCTTTTCCAGGGAGTCTTCTCTTCTCATGCGATGGCCAAAGTACTGGAGCCTCAGCTTCAGGATCTGTTCTTCCAGTGAGCACTCAGGCTTGATTTCCTCTAGAATGGATAGGTTTGTTCTCTTTGCAGTCCAGGAGACTCTCAAGAGCCTCCTCCAGCATCACAGTTCAAAAGCATCACTTCTTCGGTGGTCAGCTTTCTTTATGGTCCAGCTCTCACTTCCATACATCACTACAGGAAAAACCATAGCTTTGACTATTCGGACTTTTGTTGGCAAGGTGATGTCTCTGCTTTTTAAGATGCTGTCGAGGTTTGTCATCACTTTCCTCCCAAGAAGCAGGCATCTTTTAATTTCGTGGCTGCTATCACCAACTGCAGTGATCATGAAGCCAAGAAAGTAACATCTGTCACTACCTCCATATCTTCCCCTTCTATTTGCCAGGAGGTGATGGGACCAGTGGCCATGATCTTAGTTTTTTTGATGTTGAGCTTCAGACCGTTTTCTGCATTCTCCTCTTTTACCCTCATTACAAGGTTCCTTAATTCCTCCTCACTTTGTGCTATCAGAGTGGTATCATCTGCATATCTGAGGCTGTTGATATTTCTTCCGGTAATCTTAATTCCAGTTTCGGATTCCTCCAGTCCTGTCTTTCTCATGATCTATTCTGCATATAAGTTAAATAAGCAGGGGGACAATATACAGCCTTGTTGTACTCCTTTCCCAATTTTGAATCAATCAGTTGTTCCATATCCAGTTCTAACTCTTGCTTCCTGTCCCACGTATAGGTTTCTCAGGACATAGATAAGGTGGTCAGGAACTCCCATTTCTTTAAGGACTTGCCATAGTTTGCTGTGGTCCACACAGTCAAAGGCTTTTGCATAGTCAATGAAGCAGAAGTAGATGTTTTTCTGGAACTCTCTGGCTTTCTCCATAATCCAGCACATGTTAGAAATTTGGTCTCTAGTTCCTCTGCCCTTTTGAAATCTAGCTTGTACTTCTGGGAGTTCTCGGTCCACATATTGCTGAAGCCTGCCTTGGAGGATTTTGAGCATAACCTTGCTAGCGTGTGAAATGAGTGCAATTGTACAGTAGGTGGAGCATTCTTTGGCACTGCCCTTCTTTGGTTTCTCTCTAGCAACACCAAAATGGAGAACTCAGCTTCCTTCCTTAATTCTAAATGTCCTACACAGATCTGTAGGAAATCACTTGGACTCCATTCTTGCTTAGGAAAGGACAGTAAATGGGTGGAAGCAATTGGTGATGGGTATGATGGGATACTCTGGCCATTGGGGGGAAAAAGGGTAATTCTCCTCTCTTCTGTAGCCAATGAATAAGCAAACAAGCAGGTGATGGAAGTTACTGGATTGGTGGAGATGACACTGGCTTTTTCTGAAAAGTGAAATGGTTCTAGAATGGCACTTGTTGTTAATCTTATATAAACGTCCGTGTGGTGTTTCACATAGCACAGGTTTCTTGCTTCAAGAGATTTATAACCAAATATTCAACAGAGAGAAACCGTGCTTAACAAGGATAGAAAGGGGTGATTATTTCAGCTACATATGCTTAAGCTAAGCTACAAGATACTGTGCAGTTGAGCATTGGGAACTACATGGTTGTAACAAAGGCTGCATTTTCCTCTATATTGCAAAACTATATCCTCCCTTACTGCCTGGCACTACAAATTTTGTCAAGTTACTATCAACAGAAACATGTATGTAACTATAGAGGCTAGACTCTGAAGTGAGCGAAAACCTTCTCCTGTGTGATTTGATTTCTTCTCCACAAAGTCACAATATATGACTGTTACAGTAATTATTGAAAGAAGAAAGGTTAAAAGGTTAGTTTTGGTATGTGTATGGCCAGAGGGAAAGAGAAAGGCAGTCATTCCAAATATTTACAACAAATGTCTGAAATGTTCTCTGGCAGTGCTGGTCTGTGTGCCAATCCCAAAATCAACCAAAGAAAAACAGTGACAAAGAAAGAAAATGTCTTGCAAAAAGAGGAATAATGAAATATGGTGGAAGATGTAGATTACGAGAACCAAATAAATATAACCAGCAATATTTAGATATTTAGATATTCTGCTCTAAAGTCTCATTCTAGAAAGATTAAGAAAAGAATTTCCCATTAGCCCAAGCTAGTGGCTTAATTCTGTCCCTGATGGGTTGTCTCGGGAGCATGAATTTCTGTTCCGTATTTCCTAATGCTAACTTCCCCCCAATGAGCTTCCGTCCTATTTCAATCTTCTAGAAAACTAAACAAAACTGACTTGGTCATTTGATTTTTAAATGCTGTTGGTTGTTGTGGGGTTTTCAGGCTCTTTGGCCATGTCCTGAAGGTTGTTCTTCCTAACGTTTCGCCAGTCTCTGTGGCCAGCATCTTCAGAGGACAGCACATCTTCAGAGGACCAGAGCACAGAGTGCTGTCCTCTGAAGATGCCGGCCACAGAGACTGGTGAAATGTTAGGAAGAACAACCTTCAGAACACGGCCAAAGGGGCCGAAAAACCCACAACAACCATTAGATCCTGGCTGTGAAAACCTTTGCGAATATATTTAAATGCTGTGCTTTCATCTTCTGCCCCGTGATTCTGATATTTACAAATCTCACAATCCAGGTGA